TTGAAAGGTAGTCTTATAGGGCATTTCAATCAGGGGTTGAGATTGTTTTCTTTCAGAGTTTGAAATATTTCACTCCAAGCTCACCTTGACTTCAGGTTTATGTTGAAAAGTCTGCTGAGATTCTGATGGCCTTTCCTTTATATTGATTTGTTTCTTTTCTCTAATTGTTTTTTTTTGTTTTGTTTTGTTTTGTTTTTGTTTTTGTTTTTTTTTCCAGTACTGGGAATTGAACTCATGACCTTGCGCTTGCCAGGCAGGTGCTGTGCTGCTGAGCTAAATCCCCAGCCCATCTAATTACTTTTAATATTCTGTTCTTATGTTAAATTTCTGGAATCTTGACCATTATATGTCTTGGTGTACATTTTCTTTTTTTATCATGGCTGATTGGACCACTATATGTCTTATTTACCTGTATGTCAGATTCTTTCTCCACTCTTGGGAAGTTTCCTGCTATTACTTCTCTGAACAAGTTTTCTATGTTGTTTGTGCTGTCTCCTGCTTTTTCACTGACTCCAATCAGTCATATGTAATTCATCTTTGTATCATCTTGCAGCTGTTGGATTTGGGTGTACATGGTTTCCATTACTTTCCTGAGTTTCTCTATTTTTTTTTTATCTGTATCTATTCTAAGTTCACCAACATGTTCTTCATTGGAGTCATCATCTCTGTAGCTACCTGAGAAATTACTTCTGATTTGATTTTTTCTAGGGCTTCATTTGCTGGCTTTGTTACTTCTGCTGTTACCATTTCAGAGAGTCCAGGTGGGTGGCTTTCGATTTGTTCCACCTCATTGTCCCTTGGGTTTGCCTTTGGTGAGCTGGAAGTCCTGGGTTGCATCTTGCTTCATGTCTTCTCATTTTCTATTTGTTGTTAGTTTAATACCTGTGTTGATGCTTATAAATTGCTCATTATCAGTAGCTTTGTTGCTAGTATTGAGAACCCTTAGGAAATGATAACTTCTCAGAGGTGTCTTCCAGGTGTTGCTGGCTTTTGAGTTTTGAAACTGGTGTACTATCCTACCTCTTCAATTTATTAGGGATAAGAAGTTGATGCCTATTTGGACTGGCCACTAGTTCTTTGGTACTGACCTATAGTATTGTTACGACCCTCAGACAATCTCAGTCTTGGCATACAAGGAAGAACAACTGATTAGAACAATTATGTCACTTTGGCTAAAGTTAACAAAATCAGCAATAATAATAGCATGAAACACAGCCTATAAAATGACACACTGTGATAACTGATAATTTGTCACCTTTAACCATATGAACAAGATTGGTAGTTATATACAAAATCTAAAACAGACCAGAAAATTGTAGACAGTAAATACCCACTCAGTATGGTGATTTTACCCTCAGGGAAGAAAATTTAAAAGTGGTTAAGGAGGGGCTGGGGATATAGCTCAGTGGCACAAGCGCCTGCCTGGCAGGTGCAAGGTCCTGAGTTCGATCCCTGGTACCGCAAATAAATAAATAAATAAATAAAATAAAAGTGGCTAGGGAAATTAACACAGAAAGAGAAGGAGAAAAAGTATTAGAAGCAAGGATGGAGCACAGAGAAAGATCACACAAGCTTTGGGAAACTGGTGAAGAAGACAACAGAGAAAGAAGAAAGAAACAGATACAAGACAGAACAAAGCAACAACAAAAACTAGAGATAATTTTCACACTCATGTAAAAGCAGAAACAAACAAGAAAAAAAGAAAGAGGGAAAAATAACAAAGGAAGAAATAAAAAAAGAGAAAAAAACATTGACTTCAGGGTGCATCTCTGGTGTCACTGATACACAGAAGGGGAGACAGAGTCCAGATCTATGCTGCTAGATTCCAGCAAACGAGCAGCAGAATTACACCAAGCCTTTGCCTTTAGTTCCACTGAAGTTAAGGGTGCTTCTGGTTTCTGCATGTGAAGTTGGGATCCAAGTTGTTCAGTTGTTGTTTTCTCTCTGATCCACTTACACACACAAACTGCTACATTGCTACTTTTCAAGTTAGTTTTAGCCTTAAACATGGACAATCTCTAAATCTACACAGAGAACATAGAGTGAGAGACTTGACAATTTATACATAGTTGCAAAACCCATTCATGGGCTACTGTTGAGGTTTTTTAATTGATAAATGTTTCTATACATAAGGATTACATTTATCATGTGGAGTTGGTACAAGTACATGACA